AAGAAAAAATTGGATATCAAATTGGGGAGGAGGAGTATGGAAGAAGTGAATGTTTTCAGATACTTGGGAGTTGACGTGTCGGCGGATGGATTTATGAAGGATGAGGTTAATCATAGAATTGATGAGGGAAAAAAGGTGAGTGGTGCGTTGAGGTAATATGTGGAGTCAAAAAACGTTATCTATGGAGGCAAAGAAGGGAATGTATGAAAGTATAGTAGTACCAACACTCTATATGGGTGTGAAGCTTGGGTGGTAAATGCAGCAGCGAGGAGACGGTTGGAGGCAGCGGAGATGTCCTGTTTAAGGGCAATGTGGGTGTAAATATTATGCAGAAAATTCGGAGTGTGGAAATTAGGAGAAGGTGTGGAGTTAATAAAAGTATTAGTCAGAGGGCAGAAGAGGGGTTGTTGAGGTGGTTTGGTCATTTAGAGAGAATGGATCACAGTAAATGACATGGAAAGCATATAAATCTATAGGGGAAGGAAGGCGGGGTAGGGGTCGTCCTCGAAAGGGTTGGAGAGAGGGGGTAAAGGAGGTTTTGTGGGTAAGGGGCTTGGACTTCCAGCAAGCGTGCGTGAGCGTGTTAGATAGAGTGAATGGAGACGAATGGTACTTGGGGACCTGACGATCTGTTGGAGTGTGAGCAGGGTAATATTTAGTGAAGGGATTCAGGGAAACCGTTATTTTCATATAGTCGGACTGAGTCCTGGAAATGGGAAGTACAATGCCTGCACTTTTAAAGGAGGGGTTTGGGATATTGGCAGTTTGGAGGGATATGTTGTGTATCTTTATATGTTTATGCTTCTAGACTGTGTATTCTGAGCACCTCTGCAAAAACAGTGATAATGTGCGAGTGTGGTGAAAGTGTTTGAATGATGATGAAAGTATTTTCTTTTTGGGATTTTCTTTCTTTTTTGGGTCACCCTGCCTCGGTGGGAGAGGGCCGACTTGTTGAAAAAAAAAAAAAAAAAAAAAAAAAATATATATATATATATAATATTATATAATATATATATATATATATATATATATATATATATATATAATATATATATATATATAGATATGTGTGTGTGTGTGTGGAGTAAAATAAAGGTTGGATGTGAAAGTGGGTTATAGTAAGCGTACATGCACCTGTAGAAGAGAGAAGTGTAGAGGAAAGAGAGAGATTTTGGGAAATGTGGAGTGAATGCGTGAGTTTTGAACCAAGTGTGAGAGTACTTGTGGTTAGGGATTTCAATGCTAAAATGGGTAAAAATGTTGTGCAGGGAGTAGTAGGTAAATTTGGGGTGCCAGGGGTAAATGAAAATGGGGAGCCTTTAATTGGGCTATGTGTAGAAAGAGGTTTGGTAATAAGTAATACATATTTTATGAAAAAGAGGATAAATAAATAAACAAGATATGATATAGCACTTAATGAAAGTAGTTTGTTAGATTATGTATTGGTGGATAAAAGGTTGATGGGTATGCTCCAGGATGTACACGTTTATAGGGGGGCAACTGATATATCGGATCATTATTTAGTTGTAGCTACAGTTAGAGTAAGAGGTAGATGGGACAAGAGGAAAATGGCAACAACAAGTAAAAGGGAGGGGAAAGTGTATAAACTATGGGAGGAGGAAGTTCGGGTGAGATATAAGCAACTATTGGCAGAAAGGTGGGCTGGTGTAAATATGAGTAGTGGGGGGTTGAAGAGGGTTGGAATGGTTTTAAAAATGCAGTATTAGAATGTGGGGCAGAAGTTTGTGGTTATAGGAGGGTGGGGACAGGAGGAAAGAGGAGTGATTGGTGGAATGATGGAGTAAATGGTGTGATAAAAGAGAAAAAGGTAGCTTATGAGAGTTTTTTACAAAGCAGAAGTGTTATAAGAAGAGTAGAGTATATGGAGAGTAAAAGAAGGTGAAGAGAGTGGTGAGAGATTGCAAAAGGAGAGCAGATGATAGAGTGGGAGAGGCACTGTCAAGAAATTTTAATGAAAATAAGAAAAAAAATTGGAGTGAGTTAAACAGGTTAAGAAAGCCGAGGGAACGAATGGATTTTGTCAGTTAAAAAAAGAGTTTGGGGAGTTAGTAGATGGAGAGCTGGAGGTATTAGGGGATGGCGAGAACCCCCCTTTTTTTTATTGTGGAGAGTTGGGGGGGAAAAATTTGTGTTTTTAAAGGGGGGTTTGGGTTTTTTTAAAGGGGAAATTTTGGGGGCTTTATGTAATGTTTAAAAGTTTTAGGGATTTAAAAAAAGGGGGGTTTTTTTTTTAAAAAATGTTTTAAAATGAAAGTATTTTTTTTTGGGTTTTTTTTTTTTGGGCCCCGGGGGGTGGGGAAGTTTTTAAAAAAAACCCCCTTTTTTTAAAAAATTTTAAAAAAAAATCAAATAAAAAAATTATAAAATATAAAATTTTTTTAAAAAAAATAAAATATTAAAAATTTTAAAAAGGTAGGGGGGTGGGAAATTTTTTTGGTTTTTTTTTTTATTAAAATTTTTAAAAAATTTTTTATAAAAATTTTAAAAAAAAATATGTTAAAATGAAAAAGTTTAAAAAAAAAAATAATTTTAAATTTTTTAAAAATTTAAAAATAAATATTTAAAAAAAATTTTTTAAAAATTTAAATTAAAAAAGGGTAATTTTAAAATTTTAAAATTTTTTTTAAAAAAAAAAAGAAAAAAAAAAAAAAATTTTTTAAACGTAAAGAAAAAAGAAGGGTTAAAATTTAAATTTTGTAATTGAAATTTAAATTTTAATAATTTAAATATTTAAAATTAAAAATTTTAAAAAAATATTTTTGGTAAAGGGGAAAAATTTTTTTTTAAAAATTTAAAAAGGGGGGGCCCCTAGGTTTTTAAAAATTTTTTTGGTTATATGGGGGGCCCCAAAAATTTTAACCCCGGGGTTTTTAAAATTTTTAAAAAGTAGGAAGTTGGTTTTTAAAACTTTCACCGGTTTTTTGGGGAAATTTTAAAATTTTTTAAAATTAAAAAATTTAAAAAATTAAAAATTTTAATTAATAAATTTATTAATAAGCAAAAAAATGTAAAAAAAAAAAATTTTTTTTAAAATTAAAAATAAATAAATAATATATTTAAAAAATTTTTTTTTTTGGTTTTTGGGGGGAAAAAAGTTTCCCGGTTTCCCCGCGGGGGGGCTTTGGGTTGAGGGTGAAAAAAGGAAAGGGGGGCCGAGAGCCCCCCTTAAAAAGCAAGATTATGGGGGGATTAGGCCCGCTTTTCCCCCCCTGGGCCCCCAAAGAAGTCTTTTTCCCGAACTTAAATTTGGGATTGAAAAAGGGTTTTTTACCCAAAATTTTCCTAAAAATTTTTAAAAATGTTGAAAATGGTAAAAAGGTTTTTTATAAAGTAGAAAGTTGAAAGTGAACATAGAAAAGAGTAAGGTGATGAGGGTATCAAATGATTTAGATAAAGAAAAATTTGATATCAAATTGGGGAGGAGGAGTATGGAAGAAGTGAATGTTTTCAGATATTTGGGAGTTGACGTGTCAGCAGATGGATTTATGAAGGATGAGGTTAATCATAGAATTGATGAAGGAAAAAACGTGAGTGGTGCATTGTGGTATATGTGGAGACAAAAAACGTTATCTATGGAGGCAAAGAAGGGAATGTATGAAAGTATAGTAGTACCAACGCTCTCGTATGGGTGTGAAGCTTGGGTTGTAAATGCTGCAGCGAGGCGGCGGTTGGAGGCAGTGGAGATGTCCTGTCTAAGGGCAATGTGTGGTGTAAATATTATGCAGAAAATTCGGAGTGCAGAAATTAGAAGAAGGTGTGGAGTTAATAAAAGTATTAGTCAGAGGGCCGAAGAGGAATTGTTGAGGTGGTTTGGTCATTTAGAGAGAATGGATCAAAGTAGAATGACATGGAGAGCGTATAAATCTGTAGGGGAAGGAAGGCGGGGTAGGGGTCGTCCTCGAAAAGATTGGAGGGAGGGGGTAAACGAGGCTTTGTGGGCGAGGGGCTTAGACTTCCAGCAAGCGTGCGTGAGCGTGTTAGATAGGAGTGAATGGAGATGAATGGTATTTGGGACCTGACGAGCTGTTGGAGTGTGAGCAGGGTAATATTTAGTGAAGGGATTCAGGGAAACCGGCTATTTTTATATAGCTGGACTTGAGTCCTGGAAATGGGAAGTACAATGCCTGAACTTTAAAGGAGGGGTTTGGGATATTGGCAGTTTGGACGGATATGTTGTGTATCTTTATATGTATATGCTTCTAAACTGTTGTATTCTGAGCACCTCTGCAAAAACAGTGATAATGTGTGAGTGTGGTGAAAGTGTTGAATGATTACCTGGTTACCTGGAGGTTATTCCGGGGATCAACGCCCCCGCGGCCCGGTCCACGACCAGGCCTCCCGATGGATCAGGGCCTGATCAACTAGGCTGTTACTGCTGGCCGCACGCAGTCCGACGTACGAGCCACAGCCCGGCTGATCCGGCACCGACTTTAGGTATCTGTCCAGCTCTCTCTTGAAGGCAGCCAGGAGTTTATTGGCAATTCCCCTAATGCTTGATGGGAGGCTGTTGAACAGTTTTGGGCCCCGGACACTTATGGTGTTTTCTCTTAGTGTACCAATGGCGCCCCTACTTTTTATTGGCGGCATTTTGCATCGCCTGCCCAGTCTTTTACTTTCGTAGGGAGTGATTTCTGTGTGCAGATTTGGGACCATTCCTTCCAAGATTTTCCAAGTGTAGATTATGATATATCTCTCCCTCCTGCGTGATGATGAAAGTATTTTCTTTTTGGGGATTTTCTTTCTTTTTGGGTCACCCTGCCTCGGTGGGAGACGACCGACTTGTTAAATTACACACCCACACACACATATACATACATACATATATATATATATATATATATATATATATATATATATATATATATATATATATTATATATATATATATATATATATGTGTGTGTGTGTGTGTGTGTGTGTGTGTGTGTGTGTATGTATATTATTATTATTATTATTAATTTTTACATTAACATAAATGAAAAACATATATCTTTAAACGTATTCGAGAAAATTTTAGAAGGGACTTAATTTTAAATGAGTTCTTGCTAATTGACCATATATATATATATATATATATATATATATATATATATATATATATATATATATATATATATATATATATATATATATATATATATATATATATATGCAATAAGATCACAGTAAACAGGTGATTTTAGAATATGCAAAACAACCACTGTGAAAGAATAGAGAAATTCCAAGCGCTTTCGTGACTACTCACATTATCAAGGAACTATGAAAGTAAAGCATCCAAGGAAGGTATATAAGGGGTCTGGTCAACACCTCACTATCAGATCCCACAAACGGTTAAACACCTGACGCGCGCCGGCCCAACTGGACAGGTCCTTCGCAAAACCCACCAACAAACTATTCTACCCAAGAAAATTTTTTAAAAATTATTATTTGTCTAGTGTATTATTAAATTCTTCCCAAATTCTATTAGTTATAAATGGATCTAATTTATATAAACCAAAGGAAATATTCATATTATTGTCAAAACTGCTTTTTATGAAACAAGATTCAATTATATAACTGTTCCACTATTATTCTTTGCATCAAGATAGAGTCAAACTGTCTGTTTTCTCATCAATGTTTTTGAGAGCTTTACGAATTTGTAGTCCTGAGTTCATAGATGAGGAAATATCCAAAATTTATGAAATAGGTAATGATTTAAAATACACAAGAAATGTAATTGATAAATCTTTTAAAGTTGCTAGAAATACTTTAGGTAATGATTTAAAATACACAAGAAATGTAATTGATAAATCTTTTAAAGTTGCTAGAAATACTTTTTACAATCCAAAAAGGGACAACCAGCCTTATTCAACTAAAAATATGTTGGTTCTCCCGTACCATGAAAACTTGGTTGATATGCCTTCTCTTCTTAAGACTTTTAATATTAAAGTTGTATTCAAAAATCTTGATACAGTTAAAAAAACTTTTGATAAAGAATTCCCCCCAAAATGCTGATGGATGTGTCTATAAGATTCCTTGTAAAATTTGCGATAAAGTTTATTACGGTCAAACTGGTAAAAATCTCGAACTAAGATTAAAACAACATAAATATAGCATTAGAACTGGACAAGATTCCAATGCTCTATTTATTCATGTAAGAGATTTTAACCATGCAATTGATTTTCAAAAAGTTGAGAAAGTAGTATCAAGCAAGTCCATGGTCGACAGGAATATAATTGAATCTTGTTTCATAAAAAGCAGTTTTGACAATATTATGAATATTTCCTTTGGTTTATATAAATTAGATCCATTTATAACTAATAGAATTTGGGAAGAATTTAATAATACACTGGACAAATAATAATTTTTAAAAAATTTTCTTGGGTAGAATGGTAGAATAGTTTGTTGGTGGGTTGTGCGAAGGACCTGTCCAGTTGGGCCGGCGCGCGTCAGGTGTTTAACCGTTTGTGGGATCTGATAGTGAGGTGTTGGCCAGACCCTTTATATACCTTCCTTGGATGCTTTACGTTCATAGTTCCTTGATAATATGAGTAGTCACGAAAGCACTTGGAATTTCTCTATTCTTTCACAGTGGTTGTTTTGCATATATATATATATATATATATAATATATATATATATATATATATATATATATATATATATATATATATATATATATATATATACAAAACAACCACTGTGAAAGAATATAGATATATATAAAATAACATTATAATATATATATATATATATATATATATATATATATATATATATATATATATATATATATATATATATATATATATATATTCAACTTACATCTTCCTCGTTGCTTGTTGATCCATAACACGTTGCTTTCCCGCAGCTGTGGCCCCGCGGGGCGGCTCTGGCTGAGCGCTTGTGGACCAACCCAGACACTAACTGGGAAGCCGCAGAGACCCGCTTCATACACCACAGACAACGACTGGTCATGAGGGGTATTATGGCCCAGCGTGTCCAGCCCGAATGGTGCCACCAGAACGAAGGTCTTTGTTACCTGTAAGCTGTCACCAGTGGTGCCATTAGAAGCAAGACCTTTATTACCTGTAAACTGTGCCATCACTGTTTCATTTAAAATGTTAGAATGATGGTAAAAATGGTGTCTTGAGCCTCTCAACGGTCAACAACGATGTCAAAGAAACAATGACCTCTCTAATACTGGCAAGTGTCACTGAAGAATCTTCTCCTTTTGAACCATCGATAAAAAGTCGCCATATAAATTTTTCCTTGCTCAGAAAAATTAAACACATTTTTCTCCATAGCGAGTACAGTATGCAAATCACTCGCCTTACCTCGGACGACATAGGTAGGTTTGAATATAAGATATAATTGTAATAGTACAGTGGCCATATTCGATGCCTCGCATTAGACCTGTAGCATTTTGCAGTTCACTTTTTCAGTCGGTTCTTTACAAATTCTGTGCAAATTTATTTAAATATTTTTGTATTTTATGAATATATTTCGATTCGACAAAACTGTATGCAAAAATTTATGTTCAAGATGCAAATGTATGTATTGAGATTTTTGCAAGAATACTTTTGATATGTTTTTGCATCATGTTTTAAAATGGAAATAAAAAGTTATTATGTTTCTAGGCGGAGGCTTTATATTAAATTATATACCTAATGCTGCAAACTGTTATTACATTGTTTATTAAATTTTTAAGATTGATTATTCAGAGATTTGAAATTTTGTTAGTTCCTAATAAAGAATTAACTGTACGATGTTTTTCGTAGTTAATACTCGTTCTTCATGGTCCACATTGTAATCCCTAAATGTTTCCTGGAAGAAATCTCACAAATGTTCCTGTCATTTGGTGTCCAGTTTCAACTTCACCTCTCGTGTTATTATAAGTTTCATTGGCTGTACAGTAATGTACATTCTTGAAGTTATTTACCCTGTTCTTAGGGTGAGGATGTTGAGAAATTTCATCTCAGTTTTTTCCTGCCAACTGGGTCAAGATTTTTCCTGTTTTTCTCCCTCTTGTTTATGTAGGCCATGAAAATCACCTTCAGCTTTCTTATTAAACGTTACATATATTGTATTGAAGAAGTATGGAATGTATGGAGCGCTGCTCGACTTTTTATTATTTTTTAATTCGAATATTGGCTCCTTTTTATTTAATCTTTATAGCGTGTACAAAACTATTTGGTGGTGAGAGGGTGACATCATGCGATTTCGTGATCATAACCTAGCAAGTCATAAGGCATAAAAAAATCTGTAGTTTCTAGCAGTTTCAAGGTTCAGCCCAAATTTTTGTTTCTCCCATGTTAATGCTTGCGGTCAAGGAAAGCATAGTCATCTAATACTTATACCCGTGACAGATATGCCACACTATATCTATTCATACATTTCAACTAGGTTATTGAAGCTGCAACATAATAGTCACTGCAAATTTAATTATAACATATAGCCTATGAGAATATCACTTATGACTGTGTATGACATATACGGTCATTAGTGATAGTTTTTTCTTTATTTCCGCTTATGTGCTAAATATCTCGTGAATAAGGTTGTTAATGTATAGGTTGCTACTAGCTCTTCCGGAAAGCTGATTCCACTGTATATCTACACTCTTCTCTGTCGAAAATTATCCAGGTGGTTTTGAAAGGCAGATTTAGCAAGATATTATGAACTAGTGAGGCTATTGTTATTGTGTTCGTTTTTTATTTTATTTTTATTTTTTTTTATTTTGGAGGCTTGCATTTTCTCAAGAATTTGTGGTGTGTGTATGTAGGCTTTTATTGATAAGAGCGTTGACTGATGCATTGGTCTTAGCGCTGATAATTAAAGCGCCTTCGTTTTTCGTTACATTACCATCAAAGTTAGTTTGTTTTATTCTGTTTTTAGCCATATTTTAAAGTCAAAGGATGATGCTGGATAACCCGAGTAAAAATAATCTTATTAGTTGCACTGGTCGAATGTATTAACTAATATATACGGAAGTGATAAACAAGAGATCCTTTTGAACATGGGCCTATAAGTGAGGGCGACAAGTGACGTATCCTTGGGGAAAATGGAAGGCAGTCAGTTTTGATAAAAAAAATGGCATAGTTCCACTTTTTTAATATAGTCCTTCGCCAGCATCAGGGCACTCTATTGAAGAGGACGTATCCCAGAGTGTTGGTAGCACAACTAAATACCTGTGATTTGTATTATGTTTCATTTTTTATTTAAAACATAAGAATTACCGTTCTAGGATATTTTCTCTTAGTTGAAACATTTTTCTGGAAGAGGGGAGTGCTGAGCGTTTTGCTGGGTACTTGCGGCCATTTCAAGGGCTAAAATGAGTGCCGAAACGAGAGAGCCGATGCCGAGAACATAGAAGACCCCCTGGAGGTGAGCCAGGTTGAGAGGCTTAGTGTGGGACTCTGGGGCGTGGAGTCGCTTATTGGCGTGCTGAGCTCTGAAGTAAGCCACCACCTCACTTGCCATTTGTAAATCACCCCAGACTCAAACAACCGCAAGATAAGGCCATCGAAAGGAGACCTCAACGGGGAGTTCTTCTGATAAGCTAGGCCTATGCTGTACGTCAGTAGACACTCGGGTACGATGCGAATAGATGAGTAGCTACCGTAAGTGAAACGTGCACCGATCGCAAGCTCTACATACTGTTTGTTTTCTATAAGGGCAAATTTTCCATCTTCAACTTCGTCAAAGAGAGAATAAAGATCAACGCCTGTTTCTAAAATTTTACCAAAGCCGCGGATAACTGGTTCATTGGAGGAGTCAAACTGAGTCTTCCAGAAGGCGTGACTGCCAATCCTTAAGCCGCTTCTTGATAGCTGATCCAATGTGTCGATGGGAGCCGACATCGGAGAAACGGATAAGAAAGCGACCAAGTTGGCAGAGTAAGCTGTGGCGATGATGAGACCAAAGAGCCCAACGCAGCCTACGTACACGCGCACCGGTGCATGTAATGGCACTGTTTTGAGCGTGTGCATAGTTAAGGCGCCCAGGATGTAGAGGTAATTGTGTGAGAGACTCCTGAATGCTGGTAATTCTGGACTGACACCGATAGCTACAATAAGATGTAAGATACCTCCACTTACAGCCAGAGCCACGACCACAGAGCTCCAAGTGTCCCATGTGAAGGGCATCGCTGGAGACTTCCAATTTGGCAGTGGTTTGGGCGACGGTGCCGCGAAACACCCGCGTTCGAAGTTATAAGGGGTTGAGTAATCAACCTGTTTCCACCGATTTAACTCTAGGAACATGTTACAGGCGCCAATGTCAGCTAATTCATAGTAAACCTTTCCAACGAGACCGACCCAAGTGCCGTTATCTAGCTCAAATCCCCATAGATCATCGGGATTTATTTCAACATATTCAACAGAAAAGTTTTTCGACTTTGCAAGAACTTGCACAATTTGCATGTCAACTCCAAGACGATTGACGATATGTCGGTGGTCATCAAGGACGTACACAACACTTGGAGGGTGATCAAACGTGGCTACACGCAATACAACTCCATGCAAGTCATTCAGTTTCTCTGGGAAAAGACTCTTGCCTCGGTGGAATTTCCCGTCCCTCCAGGTGTCAAGAAGTGTGAGAGAAGAGGAGGCTGCATACAACTGGTTGGTCCACGCCAACAGATGCTTCTCTCGTTGCTGTAAGATCAATACCTTCTCCGTTTTCTTGAAATTATATAGGGTTGCTATGTCTGATGGACTGAGAGTGGCGTTTCCAGAATCAAAAAGGAGAATGTAGTGAGCGTTGTAGTTCCAGAGGGCATGGGGGTGCTCGAGGGTGGTGGCGGAGGCATGATAGTGGCTGACATTTGCGTGACGGATAAATGCGTCTCCTCCTGTCATCAGAAAGACATAAATATCACACGCAGACTGTCTCCACGTCTCCTCTCGGGACAGCACCTCCTCCTCCATCGAGAATACCTGGAAAAAAAAAAAAGTCTTAAATTAGTGATAAGACAAACGAATCCACATAGAGGCAGTAAAAGATAAAAAAAAATGGTTTTATCACCAGCTTTGACCGAAAAAAAAGTGTCTTCATGTTGACGAAGGGACCTTGAGCCACGGAATAGTAGCTATACATTCCTCTCCTGGATAAAACCTAATTACTTCTCATTTCCCAAGAGCTCTACAACACCTATGGATTTAGTGATTTCTGATGACTAATTTAATAATAATATAAAAATGATATAATAATAATGAGACTGACATAATTAGGTAAGCAATAAAACTAAATAAATTTAAACTAGTTGAAGAATGTCCCATGATTGCAGCTACATGTTGAAATGAAAGAATTTTTTTATAAATTTTAGATCTCACACAGAATTTTTAACTTACAGTGGTCAGTGTGACACTTGTGGGTTTAGCACTTAATTTTGATGATGATGATAATAATAATATAATAATAATAATAATGTGACTTATTTTTAACGAGGTCCATGATAAGTAAATAAGATTGTATTTATAGGTCAATCTACAAATGATTGGTTAATTAGGCTTAAAACCTATCGACACAAGGATCATTAAGGTACATAATGATCTTTAAGACCACATGTCACCTGTTCACCACCAATTAAGAATACCTTAATCTCATATACGAGGATATTGGGATTTAAGTAAACTTCAAAGCGTATATAACTGAGATATACATTACACCCCTCCACGTGGACATGTACTCTTCCTCTCCATAATATATATCATCAGAATATATATCCTCCATTCTGTGATAAAATCGCGACATTTCCAGGATTTGCAATTGCAAGGATTCGGGTCTCCCCCTTCCCCATTAAATAGATACCTGGGTGTTAGCCGGCTATTGTGTTAAACAATCATGTGGGGGGGGGGGTTATGTCTAAAATAAGAGTGGGACTCCCGAAATCGTAATAACATGATTATAAACAACTCACTACAGTATTGTGACTTATTCTTTATTGTAAACAACTCACGCAATAGACGGGGTTCGAAGCCATAGAAAAGTTAGAGCAGGGGCATGCTATTTTTAGTATTAGTGTGCCATGGATTCGAATCCTGTCCTCTCCATGCAGTGTTGATGACCCTTTATTATATATATATATATATTATATATATATATATATATATATAAATATATATATTATATATATATATATATATATATATATTATATATTATATATAATATAATATATATATTATATTATATAATATATATTATATATATATATATATATATATTATATATATATAATATATATATATATATATATTATATATATAATATATATATATATATAATATATATATATTATATATATATATATATATAATATATATATATATATATATATATATATATATATATATATTATATATATATATATATATATATATATATATATATATATATATATATATATATATATATTATAATAGATAGATAGATAGATAGATAGATAGATACGTTTAGTGTTGTTTAGTTTTGATTATAATAATAATGCCCTTTCCATGAGTTAGAACAGTTAGCTTTGATATGATTTACGATACTGATGTAGATAAATAAACGAAGGTCGGGTCTCATCTTTGTTACCATATCATCCATTCCCTGTGACACTGACTTGAACTAACTTCAGCCTGAGAAGATTTAAATTTTATAAAACTACTGTATATATCGGCTACCATTAAGTCACTTGTATTCCTCGATGTCGATAGTGTGAGCGCCCATCGAACCCCGCTCCAGGCGATGTATTAAGAAAAATGATGCAAAAGGATTCAATATTTAGCAGAAAATCGTGTGTTGTGTAACACTATTCAGAAAAATGTCGCTATTGCGTGTTGCGCAACAACGAAATAGCTCGTGCAAAATTTTTGGGTAAAAATGTTTGCAGTCTTCCTTCGTTCGCGAAAGATATAACAAATATGTAAGTAATACGATCAATGAGCGTTCTCAGTACGAAGAAAAAAAGTTAATATTGCATAAGTTGAAATTTCTGTTAAACTACATGTACGTGCTAGTCAACTTTCAACTTTACCCAGGGTAGTCCGACACATTCCTGTGGCCACACATTCTCGTGGTTATACACATTCTCCTACACATACACTTTCCCAGTTTAATGTCATTTTAAGGACCAATTACTAAAATCTTCAGACTTTAACAGGGACAAGGCAGCGATATGAGGACCGAGGATCGAGCCTACACAACTCCATGCACCAAACGTCACACGCTGGTTTAGCGTTACATGAAATATAACATAATACAGTTAACTTTAAATCTATATTTCTGTATACAGTGCAATACTAGGTGCCTGACTGATAGAGAATGGGTCGCGATTAGAGGACAGAGGATCGAGCCTTCAACTGGTCATTGCTCTGAATAACCCACCTCGGGTTCAACGCTTCGTAAAGCATAACAGCAACATGTACGCAGTATTTTTTAAACGTTTTTATTAGTGTCATCGTTTCAAGGCAGGAGAAACTGCTGACCTGGAGAGTGTACAAAGAACTTTCACGGCACACATAAGTGCGATAAAGCACCTAAATTTAATTAGAATTTGTTTTTCTCTTCCTCCACTTTCTTGTGTCTTTTGTTGAAAACATGAGAGAACTTCATCTGATCGGCTTCAAATTTTCAACTTGGTCCACTGCAACTTGGACAAGGATCATTCAACTACTTGCATGTGTAGATGACCGATGATCAAAGTTATTATTATAAAAGATTCGCCGGTATTCTCCCGGCCCGGGCCTTTTCCAAGTGGTGGCCCGGCCTTGGCTCCCTCTTTAGGGAGTGTCTGAGACCTAAGTCTCCCATGGGAGGAGGCACAAGTAACTCCTCATCTTTGGGACCAACTGTCCCCAGGCCTAGCTTCTCGTAGGGAGAAGCTAGGCCTCTCTGGTCTGCCATCCCCGCCCCAAAGGGCCTAATGGGAATGAGTCTTGTGAGCTGCAAGCTCTGGCTCAGGCACCTACCCTACCCTAGAACGGCTGGGTATGGTGTCGATCCGATGATCAAAGTTATATGTTGTTATGTATGATAATCTATGTAACTATATTTGTTTATACCTGAATAAATTTATTCTAAGATTCCTGGAATGGGTCCGAGAACGTTCAAAAACCTCTGCTACATGTCTTTAAACATTCAAAAGAAAAGTGCATCCTACATCGACAACGAGCTAGATACACATTTACCAATTTTTATCTGTAAAAGAGTGTGAATTTTTATTCCCTTTAAATCACGTTGAATATATTTGAGTATACCTCTTCTGAACGGCTTCAATTTTTAATGGCTGATCCATCATACGGACACGCACACGTATACATATTTTTATGTTTTCCTGCAATATTCCTTTTGCGTATACAGAGGTAAAGTTGGCTGGGCTTATGGAATACCCGAATACTTTTATCTTATCTTATCGCGCATCGACAGAAATACATTTAGTCTAACTTTCGACAGAAATACATTTAGTCTAACTTTATTTTGCATTTTACATTTTCTCTTAATAATACATAAAGAAAATGGCAAATTAATGCGTCATCGAAGGGGAAGAATTTTATTTGTACAATTTTTACACCAACCTACGTTTAACATTTAGGTTAGACAAGTAGGCTTTTATTTATGGTTCATGAAGATAAATTCATTTTTTTTCAGTGGTCTCGGGTTACACTAGCGTTATTGGCACACATATAAAGTACGTTCTCAAAATTTAACCTAGGACCACTCAATCAAGTCAAACAATGTGGGAGGCCAGAGTAAGACATTAGACAATGAGACAATGCCAGCAAGCAGCTGAAGTGACAACAAACACCAGTGAACCAACACAACTCGTACAATCATCGAGAGAAGTAACAACGACAACGACATATTTCTACTGATGTCCTCGCCTTTCCGCTGGTTTATTGTGTTTTTGTTTGTATTCATTTGTTTGTGCTCGCATGGATCGAACTTCATGTCTTGGGCCTGCCACCTCTCAACCAGTCGACAAATTTTAAGCATATGCCATGAATGTATGGAGTTCGCCTCCACTACTTCCTAAACTCTAGCTCACTACACCTACTAAATATTCTTACCCTGAAGTTCCTTCTCATAATTTTTTTTTACTCATGTTGTTTAGTTTCCCTTATGACCCCATTTTAAATCTTTCTTTGTAAAAAATTTGAATAAAGAATAAGTAGGCAACAATTCGGTTAGCAACACACTCCCCTCACGGTGAGTATCCGTGGTTCAATCCTCGGCATAGGTGGAAACGTTGGGCATGTTTCCTTACATTTCCTGTCCCTATTCACCTAGGAGTAAGTAGGTACCTGTAAGTAGGTACCTGGGTGCTTGTCGACTGGTGTTGGTCGCATCCTGGGGGGACAAGATTTAACAAATGATAAACTACCATCCAATACTTCGTTGAAACTGGCTGCTGTCTTTCTGATTAAATTAAAGAATACGAAAAAGACGTATTCGCTTTATGACAATAGCAACACACCAACGTTCTTTTATCTTCTATCGTTCACAGACACTGTTATTGAATACGTCATATACACAACACACCTAATGCGAATCTTAGTCCTGATTTTGTTTCTGCTTTTCTCAGTGCATTGTCAAATGCGCTAATCTCCAGAACACTCATGATCTGACTTGGCTTTTGCATTCTTACTTTTTCTCTTGACTTGTCTTAACCTTCACTTCACTATTAATATCTCCGAAGGCTATGCTTCAATTATATATATATATATATATATATATATATATTATTGTGCCCACGAACGAGCGTTATTGATCAATAACAACACTGCGACTAGCCAAGGACTCGAACCCATGCTGATTTGGCCTGCCTCATGGTGGGCGAAAACTCATGACGCCTTAATCCACTGGACCATACAATCTCCAAGAGCAGCGCTTCCAGCGGAACTGGGTGTTGTACTCGCTACCCAAGGACATACGATGGTGTGGATGACTCTAGGCTAATTTCATTCTAGTCCCTGTTTGGTGTACTAGTACGAAGAGCAGTATTTTATATTATTGTGCCCACGAACGAGTGGTATTGATCAATAACAACGCTGCAACTAGCCAAGGACTCGAACCCATGCTGCTTTGGCCTGCCTCATAGTGGGCGAAAACTCATGATGCCTTAATCCACTGAACATACAATCCTTAAGAGTAACGCATTCAGCGGAACTGGATGTTGTACTCGTTGTCCTCGGGTAGCGAGTACAACATCTAGTCCCGCTGGATGCGGTACTCTTAAGGATTGTATGGTTCAGTGGATTAAGGCGTCATGAGTTTTCGCCCACCATGAGGCAGGCCAAAGCAGCTTGGGTTTGAGTCCATGGCTAGTTGCAGTATATATATTATATATATATATATATATATATATATATATATATATATATATATATATATATATATATATATATATATATATATATATATATATATATATTATATATATATATATATCCTAGGTAGTAGGTTGGTAAACAGCAACTGCCCAGGGAGGTACTACCGTCCTGCCAAGTGAGTGTACACCGAAAACCTGTAATTGTTTTACATGATGGTAGGATTGCTGGTGTCTTTTGTCTGTCTCATAAACATGCAAGATTACAGGTATTTCTTGTTACTTCTACTTACACTCAGGTCAAACCATACCCCGGCCGGGATTGAACCCGCAGTCATAGAGTCTCAAAACTCCAGCCCGTCGCGTTAGCCACTAAACCAGCTTTTGAGACTCTATGACCGCGGGTTCAATCCCGGCCGGGGTATGGTTTGTTTGCAATCGTGTCATTACGATTTCGTGAGTCATGTACACTTAGGTCACACTACACATACATGTACAAACATATATATACACACCCCTCTGGTATTCTTCTATTTTCTTTCTAGTTCTTGTTCTTGTTTATTTCCTCTTATCTCCATGGGGAAGTGGAACAGAATTCTTCCTCCGTAAGCCATGCATGTTGTGAAAGGCGACCAAAATGCCGGGAGCAAGGGGCTAGTAACCCCTTCTCCCGTATAAATTACTAAATTTAAGAGAAACTTTAGTTTTTCTTTTTGGGCCTCCCTGCCTTGGTGGGATATGGCCGGTGTGTTGAAATATATATATATATATATATATATATATATATATATATATATATATATATATATATATATATATATATATATATATATATATATATATATATACATAATATATATATATATATATATATATATATATATATATATATATATATATATATATATATATATATATATATATATATATTAACAATGCATTGTTAATATATCTAGTAAGGCTGATGCATGCAGGGGATGAGATGAAAAGCTGTAAGCCTTCTCCCTGAAAGCTGGCTGCCTTGGATCAAAGTCTAGCGCAAGCTGGACTCCAAGGTATTGGTCCAGTGTGAGTAGATTTGTAAAGCACTGCGTTCCTTGTTCCAAGGTTCGTAGGTTCGAGTCTCCTTCAGCCAGAGATCAGTGTTTATATATATATATATATATATATTAATATATATATATATATATATATAATATATATATATATGTATATATATATATATATATATATATATATATATAATATATATATATATATATATATATATATAATATATATATATATATATATCAGCTGTCTCCCACCTAGGCAGGGGAACTCGAAAAAGAAGAAACGCTTTCATAAAATTTTCTTTTCTCATTTAATAATATATACTGGAGAAAGGGTTAGCAGTCCTTGGCTCTCGGCATTTTAGCCGCCTCTTACGACACACATGGCTTACGAGGAAGGATTCTTCACTTCTCCAAGGTCTTCCTACAACAGAATTGGCATGAATGCTTTGTAGAACATGAAGAAAATAACAAAGTTGATTCCCTGTATCAGACACCTTTCCTACGATGAGCTGAAGGCACTGAATCTGCATTCTCTGGGAAGACATACAATTAGGGAGGATAGTCTTGAGAAACACATGAGCACACATTTATAGTACATGTAGATATATTTTAGGATAACCCATTAAAGTCAAACAATGCGACTTATTTCCAATGGAGTCCTTATTTTTTTTTCTTTGTGGGCTTTAGCAAGGGCAAAGATCACAATGACATTACCAGGCAAGCTTAGATTATCTCTACCTGAGTAATATTTCAAATCAATCTTTTTCAAAATGCAGCGCGAATAACCCTCTCAGATTCAAAATTTTTTGATACATGTACAGACTTCATGGTAAGCTGCAGAGAAAAAAACTACATGAGGTAATATCGCCTTGAATACTGAGCTGAGGCATGAAATGTTCTCATTCACATCAGTATTATGTTCCAGCTGGCCTTCCCTCTGGGCTCATCAGCTGCGCTGAGACAAACCTTCCGCGTGCCTAGAGTATATCACTGTACATGGTATAAATACCAAGAAGTGTGCATCTATCAGTTTATATACACTGGGTTTAAAGCGTCCTTGACTGGAGGTGTATGGGTGACATGCAGCCTTAATATTAAGATCTTCGTCTAACTGATAGGCTTTACACCAAAATAAACAAACCAACATCACTAGAGTAATCTGATAAGTTTTTCCATTACTCAAGCAGATAATTCGCCATGAAGGCTGTTAATAGTACAGTTGAATTATATGTACTTGTTAGTGAAATACCTAATTTCCAAAATAAAATTCTGCACAATTAAACTGTTAAATATTTAATGGGTCTAGCTTTAAGATTATGCTTTAATCACAGGATATATATTTTGGTGTACATTCTGATGCATGTTGGTATACTCTAACGTACTCTATGGTAACTTTATATGACTTACTAGGGAACGGTGTCACTGGATTCTTGGCAACAATATGTTAGTTACGTCTCCTTGGATAGTCTTAAAATTAAATAAACTAAACATATTGCATTATATAAACTGTATTTACTACGTTTATTTTTTTTTTTGTATTAATATTAAGCCGAAGGAGGTAGTGAAAAGTTGCAGCTCTAGTGATTGGTGTGGGGTGAGTGCTATTCTCCTGTACCTGGGTGTTAGTCGACAGTTGTGGGTGGCATCCTGGGGAGTGATCAGATACAACGTATGAGGAACACTTAAATGACCTAATGTCTCACTCCGATCATCCGATGAGATACATCACTACTTCCTCCCCATACAAAGTGACCATCCAGTTATATCGCAGTCATGGGACTGTAATCGTGTGTCTAGTAGCCTCTCAGCAGTTGATATTCTCTCCTGGTTGTGCCTACCACTAACATGAAGGGAATACCCTTCCCCAGAAGGGTCTTTGTGTAAGTACAATTCTTACCATCATGCCTGCCGCTGCCTCCTTCAGGCCGTGGACGGTCACAGTGCGAGTTACTTCCATGAAGATGCTGAGGCTGCACTTCTGTAGGAGGGTGTCCACGGCAGCGGTCACAGCTTGCACCAACACTTCCTCCTGCTGCTGCTGCTGCTGCTGCTGCTTTTGCTGTCAAGCAGCACCACCAGGAGGCACAAAGACGTAAAGAGTTTTAAATAGATTTACATGAATGCCTCGCATTAACATGGGCTTTCCGATGTAAGAAACCTTTGTATCAGATATATCTGATTCAAAAATATATTATTATTATTATTATTATTATTATTATTATTATTATTATTATTATTATTATTATTATTGAGTAACTGAGGCAATGTGGTACCGACGGCACGTGTAAATTAAACAATCTTTTATCTGGGAACATTTTTCCGTGTGTTGAGCTTTATCAAATTCTACTCAGCGAAATACTGCCCAGTGAAAACATATTTTGAAATTTGTTAAGCTCTACTTAAAGCGAAAGTTTATAAAAACTTATTTTGCAACCTGTGTCAGAACCACAGCAATCTGCACTCCTGATGTATTGTAATATTTTTCAGTATATAACAGGGCGCGGGGGAAGGGGGGCGGTAACCCCCAAAACCACACTATTGCGGCATTTTTATAGACTAGCATTGGCTCTGGTTTCTGTATCCTGAGAGATATTTTACAAATTTAGCTATGGTCTAAGAGTTAAAAAACACTAGGTATTAGGAGGTACAGTGTATGATACAGAAAAAGAGACATTATATTTCGTTATTAATTTCGCCTTCGAGGCTAGTAAATTGTTCTTGATCCAAGGAATTGGATGGAATCTGATTGCCAGCCGTTCCTCAAGGAGCCGTATGTCTCTTAGGAATTTAACTCCCCCTCCTCCAGGAATTAAAATTCATGAAAATATGACTGAAAGACAATTTAATGTGATTTTATTTGGTATGATAATTACTCCTTTAACTTGCCTCAAAATGTTCAGGCATTTAAGTTTCTAAAAGAAAACCTACAAGACGTTGTAGATAACATAAGAACATAAGAAAGGAGGAACACTGCAGTAGGCTTGTTGGCCCATACTAGGCAGGTCCTTCACAAATCAACACACATGGATAGAAAGGTATGTGATAACAGGGCCGAAACGTTTCAAATAAACATGTCCTAGTGATCGCATTTTCTGTCTTTTTTTTTTTTTACTACATGTTACCCTAGGCTAGCGTTTAGACCTATTTCTCAAAGATTTTCTTACCTTGTCAATCAAAATTTGTTGGAGACCTGGTATGTGGTCTGGCTTCCTGTCTACCTGGAACACTGACGTCTCTCTCAGAGTCCTCTTTACTCTACTGGGAAGTCCTGCCTCTGGGAATTCCTCGAGGACACCCTGTATCCCCGGCCAAGAGGACAGCATATCCTGGAAACTGTACGTTTCAGAAAGTCCTACGAGAACGCGAGGCTCCTTGGGCGAGGGAGTCGAGTTTATCAGTGCCTGTGACGAAGGAAGCTGCAGGGCCACCAGCAGGAACAGAGCCACTGATAGGGGTCGCTGGGGTGCCATACTTCACGAGACTGACCATTGGCTCTCTGGCTGTGCCCTGGCTGCTGAAGACGAGCTTCATATTGATTACTGCTATGTTTATAGCCCCTCTTCTGGCACCATGATGGGACATGTAGCATACTCTAGTTCCCCCATCCTTGTTCGTGCTCTTTATCTGTCTTCTCTCTTTACGTGCTTCTTCCTACGCTTTCTTTCTTTCCCTGTCCATGACTATTCCATCTTTCCCATCGCCCACTTCCTTCTCCTGATGCCTCTCTCCACCCTTTCCCCTTTAGACTTCTTCCTTCCTTCCTCTTCCATTATACTCCCCTTTCGTCCTCTTTCTTATACTTTCCTATTTTCTCGTTTTCTTTCGTCTCTTTATCCTAATCATTTCCCGTCTTCTGTTGCTATTGTCGCTCTTCCTCTTCTTTGTCTTCCTTCTCCTCTTCATCATCTTCTACTTATTCTTTCTCCTCCAGCAACTTAATACACCTATGAAGATTTCAATTGTGAATTGTTTCGCGTGTGAGTATGTCACACCCCTACCCCACCCACCCACCCACACACCCACACACCCACACACCCACACACACACACACACACACACACACACACACACACACACACACACACACACACACACACACACACACACACACACATATATATATATATATATATATATATATATATATAATATATATATAATATATATATTATATATATATATATATATATATAGTAAAATATACGACCACTAATAATCTTATAATGTACACCAAGCCTCCACGAACCCCTTCCCACCATTCTTCCCACATAACCCCCACCCACCACCCACAGTAATATCCAGCACCAACTTTAATATCCTAACAAAGTTGAACAAAAAGGTCAATCTTTTCACTCTGGGAATTTTAAAATGTCAAGAGGCAATTTTAGCGAAGATGAAGCTTGTTAAGGAAGCGTGTGACATATGTGGCAGTTGTTGACAGCTAGCTTCTGACAGTATGTCACAACTACTGACATTGTGTGACAGGCATTAACAGAGTATGACAGCTATTGACAGCAAAGAACAGATTACGAAGTGAGAACACGAGAATTCACAAGTAGAGAACGAATGAAGGATGAAAGAGAACACTAGAGTTCATGGAGAAGACAGAACTCAGAGAATATGTAAGTCCACGCCGAGACTATCTGCTGAGAATAACTATCAGCTAACTAGATTAAGGACTATCGTGTATTATCTATGGTTATATGTCAAGGATAGGTAAACAGAACTCATAGACTGAAGGAATGGGGAAGGGAGAGTGAGAGCATAAGACCTGTTTGTGCTCCTGTAAAATATTTGATCCAAAATGGGACAAAGAGGGGTGAATAAAACAATACTAACAATTATTTCCAAATTACCTAATAAAGCATACAGTAATATGAAGCCCTCTAATAGATTTATAGTATTTCTGCTAAAGCTTAGATTATAATGTGCTTAAAATTTGCACATTTTTGCTTACTTTTTAAGGGTCTGCACGGCATAAATAGGCACTTTAAATAGATACAAGTTAGTTTTCCTAGTTGCAGAGGCGACACTAGGAAATTTTTGTTCATTCCAACTGTTACTGAGCTGGTTGTTTCTATGTTCATTCTAGTCATGAACTTCAGTGTGTCAGGTTTAAGACTATCATTTATAGTCATGTAGTTCAGTATGTCAGGCTTAAAGCCTATGATTTACAGTTGTAGTTTCATACGTTAGGCTTAAAGCCTATCGACTGTACGTGGGTGAAGTGAGGTTAAATCATAAGGATTTTAATCCACCGGGAGGCCTGGTCATGGAGCGGGGTGCGGGGGTGTCGACCCCCGGAACACCCGCCAGGTAGACTCCAGGTAAGGATGATAAGATTTACCCGGAGTTTACCTGGAGAGGGTTTCGGAGGTCAACGCCTCCGCGGCTCGGTCTGAGACCAGGCCTCGTGGTGGATCAGGGTCTGATCAACCAGGTTGTTACTGCTGGCCGCACGCAAACTGACGTACGAACCACAGCCCGGTTGGTCAGGTACTGGCTTTAGATGCCTGTCCATTGCCTTCTTGAATTCAGCCGGGGGTCTATTGGTAATTCCCCTTATGTATGCTGGGAGGCAGTTGAACAGTCTTGGGCCCCGGACACTTACTGTGTTGTCTCTCAATGCACTCGTGGCACCCCAGCTTTTCATTGAGGGAATGTTGCATCTCCTGCAGAGTCTTTTGCTTTCATAGGGAGTGATTCTCGTGTGCAAGTTTGGTACTAATCCCTCTAGGATTTTCCAAGTGTATATTATCATGTATCTATTTCGCCTGCGCTCCAGGGAATACAGATCAAGGTCCTTCAACCGTTCCCAGTAATTTAGGTGCTTTATCGTACTTATGTGTGCAGTGAAAGTTCTTTGTACACTCTCCAGGTCAGCAATTTCGCCTGCCTTAAAGGGGGCAGTTAGTGTACAGCAGTATTCCATCCTAGAGAGAACAAGCGATTTGAAGAGAATCATCATAGGCTTGGCGTCCCTGGTTTTGAAGGTTCTCATTATCCATCGTATCATTCTCCTAGCATATGCGGTAGATACATTGTTGTGGTCTTTTGAAGGCGAGGTCTTCTGACATTATCACTCCCAGGTCCTTTACATTACTTTTTCACTATATTGTATGGTTAGAATTTGTCGTGTACCCTGATACAGTTTTAATTTCCTCAAGTTTTCCATATCTGAGTAGTTGATAGGTAATTATTTAAGCTAGGATAATCCTGAAAGATTTTTTTTTTATTATCACACTGGCCGATTCCCACCAAGGCAGGGTGGCCCGAAAAAGAAAAACTTTCATCATCATTCACTCCATCACTGTCTTGCCAGAAGGGTGCTTTACACTACAGTTTTTAAACTGCAACATTAACACCCCTCCTTCAGAGTGCAGGCACTGTACTTCCCATCTCCAGGACTCAAGTCCGGCCTGCCGGTTTCCCTGAACCCCTTCATAAATGTTACTTTGCTCACACTCCAACAGCACGTCAAGTATTAAAAACCATTTGTCTCCATTCACTCCTATCAAACACGCTCACGCATGCCTACTGGAAGTCCAAGCCCCTCGCACACAAAACCTCCTTTACCCCCTCCCTCCAACCTTTCCTAGGCCGACCCTACCCCGCCTTCCTTCCACTACAGACTGATACACTCTTGAAGTTATTCTGTTTCGCTCCATTCTCTCCACATGTCCGAACCACCTCAACAACCCTTCCTCAGCCCTCTGGACAACAGTTTTGGTAATCCCGCACCTCCTCCTAACTTCCAAACTACGAATTCTCTGCATTATATTCACACCACACATTGCTCTCAGACATGACATCTCCACTGCCTCCAGCCTTCTCCTCGCTGCAACATTCATCACCCATGCTTCACACCCATATAAGAGCGTTGGTAAAACTATACTCTCATACATTCCCCTCTTTGCCTCCAAGGACAAAGTTCTTTGTCTCCACAGACTCCTAAGTGCACCACTCACCCTTTTCCCTTCATCAATTCTATGATTCACCTCATCTTTCATAGACCCATCCACTGACACGTCCACTCCCAAATATCTGAATACATTCACCTCCTCCATACTCTCTCCCTCCAATCTGATATCCAATCTTTCATCACCTAATCTTTTTGTTATCCTCATAACCTTACTCTTTCCTGTATTCACTTTCAGTTTTCACTTTCAATTTTCAGTCCTGAAAGATGTCAACAGCAAAGTAATATACATGGAAAGGTTTGTATCTTTCAGTGATATACGCCAAAAGATACTCGCCTATTGTAATGTCACAGCTCCTGGCCCCGCCTCTTCGCTGGTCGCTACAAGGCTCACTCTCAACCAGCTCCAAGAGCCTTATCGTAATTATTAAAGCTATGTATGTAGACATCAATCATTGTATATACACCGACAGTTGCGTCTGTATATACACCGGGAGGTGTGTGTCTCTTGGTGTATTTAGATGCTGAAAATTTATTTTAATCCCTATTTTAGATATTAATTAAAGCATTCCTTACTGATAGTGTACAGGTGCTATGCAGCCTGTAGTCGATAGGCTTCAAACTTACCTGGAGGTTACCTGGAGGTTATTCCGGGGATCAACGCCCCCGCGGCCCGGTCCACGACCAGGCCTCCCGATGGATCAGGGCCTGATCAACTAGGCTGTTACTGCTGGCCGCACGCAGTCCGACGTACGAGCCACAGCCCGGTCCTATTGCTGGTGTTAACGGTGTAATACCTGTGTAGTGTTGCACAGATGTTGGAGGATTTGATTCTATTATTATTATTATTATTATTATTATTATTATTATTATTATTATTATTATTATTATTATTATTATTGGGCAGTTTTTAACCTGTGGAGTCGGTAGCTCCTGTTTAGATTCTTCATTACATATCACTGTATATACAAAGTATTGAGTAATGGGTATGATTCATACCCATTACTCAATACATGCTGCTCATGCCGTATGAGTAGCATGAAGGTACCATGTGAAGCCTGACAACAGGATGAGTGATGGCGTGACTGAAGCTGGACGATCACCAGTTGAGTCTTGTCCTTCGCTGATTTACAAGAGAATAAAATTTAATCGTCCTAGTAGGGTAGTGCGAGTGACTACTTCCCCTTCCTCGCCCCGGGGGTGGGTCGGTGGGTTGTGGTGGGCAGGGAGGGTGGTATTTGGTTGATGGTGGGCAGGGAGGGTGGTATTTGGTTGATGGTGGGCAGGGAGGGTGGTATTTGGTTGATGGTGGGCAGGGAGGGTGGTGTTTGGTTGATGGTGGGCAGGGAGGGTGGTGTTTGGTTGATGGTGGGCAGGGAGGGTGGTGTTTGGTTGATGGTGGGCAGGGAGGGTGATGTTTGGTTGATGGTGGGCAGAGAGGGTGGTATTTGGTTGATGGTGGACAGGGAGGGTGGTGTTTGGTTGATGGTGGGCAGGGAGGGTGGTGTTTGGTTGATGGTGGGCAGGGAGGGTGATGCTTGGTTGATGGTGGGCAGGGAGGGTGGTGTTTGGTTGATGGTGGGCAGGGAGGGTGATGTTTGGTCGATGGTGGGCAGGGAGGGTGGTGTTTGGTTGATGGTGGACAGGGAGGGTGGTGTTTGGTTGATGGTGGGCAGGGAGGGTGGTGTTTGGTTGATGATGGGCAGGGAGAGAAGTATTTGGTTGATGGTGGGCAGGGAGGGACGTGTTTGGTTGATGGTGGACAGGGAGGGTGATGTTTGGTTGATGATGGGCAGGGAGGGTGATGTTTGGTTGATGGTGGGCAGGGAGGGTGGTGTTTGGTTGATGGTGGGCAGGGAGGGTGGTGTTTGGTTGATGGTGGGCAGGGAGGGTGATGTTTGGTTGATGGTGGGCAGGGAGGGTGGTATTTGGTTGATGGTGGACAGGGAGGGTGGTGTTTGGTTGATGGTGGGCAGGGAGGGTGGTGTTTGGTTGATGGTGGGCAGGGAGGGTGATGCTTGGTTGATGGTGGGCAGGGAGGGTGGTGTTTGGTTGATGGTTGGCAGGGAGGCTGATGTTTGGTTGATGGTGGGCAGGGAGGGTGGTGTTTGGTTGATGGTGGACAGGGAGGGTGGTGTTTTGGTTGATGGTGGGCAGGGAGAGAGTATTTGGTTGATGGTGGGCAGGGAGGGACGTGTTTGGTTGATGGTGGACAGGGAGGGTGATGTTTGGTTGATGATGGGCAGGGAGGGTGATGTTTGGTTGATGGTGGGCAGGGAGGGTGGTGTTTGGTTGATGGTGGGCAGGGAGGGTGGTGTTTGGTTGATGGTGGGCAGGGAGGGTGATGTTTGGTTGATGGTGGGCAGGGAGGGTGGTATTTGGTTGATGGTGGACAGGAGGGTGGTGTTTGGTTGATGGTGGGCAGGGAGGGTGGTGTTTGGTTGATGGTGGCAGGGAGGGTGATGCTTGGTTGATGGTGGGCAGGGAGGGTGGTGTTTGGTTGATGGTTGGCAGGGAGGCTGATGTTTGGTTGATGGTGGGCAGGGAGGGTGGTGTTTTGGTTGATGGTGGACAGGGAGGGTGGTGTTTGGTTGATGGTGGGCAGGGAGGGTGGTGTTTGGTTGATGATGGGCAGGGAGAGAAGTATTTGGTTGATGGTGGGCAGGGAGGACGTGTTTGGTTGATGGTGGGCAGGGAGGATGATGTTTGGTTGATGATGGGCAGGGAGGGTGATGTTTGGTTGATGGTGGGCAGGGAGGGACGTGTTTGGTTGATGGTGAGTAGGGAGGGACGTGTTGATTGATGGTGGGCAGAGAGGGAGGAAGGATGAAGTGGGCAAGACTGTGTTGTGAGGGGGATTCTAGACTGGAGTCCTGGAGGGAAAGGAGAAAGACAGGAATTGCTAGGTTGGCGGGTGGAGGGCACGGGTGGGTAGGTTGATGGTGGGTGACGGGGAGGGTGGAAGGCAGGGAATGACTGGAAAAGAAGGGTTGGCAGGGGAGGGTGGGTTAATGGACCCTGGGATGGGTAGGCCATGTTCTGACTGAGTGTCGGTACCGGCGGCTCCGGACACACCGGGTCAGTCTCCGCTCTGGACTCTTTCAGTAAACATCGCTCACGCCGCTCCTGCCGCTCCCGAAGCTGCTGATCTCCGTACCACTAGTGCGTAAGAAGACTCCAGACGTGTTGATAATATTGTGGCTGCCTTCAACACTTGTAAGTTATATGCTTTTTGTTTTTGAAAAATATTCAAGCCTTCAAATTTATATTCCCTCGAGGGATGTTCCTTAATGTAGGTGAGGGGCTTTTGATCCCAGTAATTGGAACTGTAGTCCCCTTCCTTGTGACTGCACCTGAATGCCTAAACCCCTTCGGATTTAGTGCTTTCCCCATAACTGTAATATTAATAATAATATTTGAATTTATACTCGAATTGCGGGTGGTTAATGAATCTTACCGGCGTATTGTGTGCGCCAGACTTTGAATAAGATTTCTGTGTTCGTCCAAGACGCAGTGACACTCATGAAAGACCCTACTGACGTGTGTGTGTGTGTACTCACCTATTTGTGCTCACCTATTTGTGGTTGCAGGGGTCGAGTCTTAGCTCCTGGCCCCGCCTCTTCACTGGTTGTTACTAGGTCCTCTCTCTCCCTGCTCCATGAGCTTTATCAAAGCTCGTCTTAAAACTATGTATGGTTCCCGCCTCCACTGCGTCACTTTCTAGGCTATTCCACTGCCTGACAACTTTTTGACTGAAGAAATACTTCCTAACATCCTTTTGACTCATCTGAGTCTTCAACTTCCAATTGTGACCTCTTGTTTCTGTGTCCCCTCCCTGGAACATCCTGTCTTTGTCCACCTTGTCTATTCCGCGCAGTATTTTATATGTCGTTATCATGTCTCCCCTGACCCCCCTGTCCTCCAGTGTCGTCAGGCCGATTTCCCTTAACCTTTCTTCATAGGACATTCTCCTTAGCTCTGGAACTAACCTTGTCGCAAACCTTTGCACTTTCTATAATTTCTTGACGTGCTTGATCAAGTACGAGTTCCAAACACGTGCTGCATATTCCAGTATGGGCCTGACGTACACGGTGTACAGTGTCTTGAACGATTCCTTACTAAGGTATCGGAACGCTGTTCTCAGGTTTGCCAGGCGCCCATATGCTGCAGCAGTTATTTCGTTGTGTGCTTCCGGAGACATGCTCGGTGTTATACTCACCCCAAGATCTTTCTCCTTGAGCGAGGTTTGCAGTTTTTGGCCACCTAGCCCATACTCCGTCTGCAGTCTTCTGTGCCCTTCCCCTATCTTCATGACTTTACATTTGGCGGGGTTAAATTCGAGAAGCCAGTTGCTGGACCAGGTGTCCAGTCTGTCCAGGTCTCTTTGAAGTCCTGCCTGATCCTCATCTGATTTAATTCTCCTCATTAACTTCACATCATCTGCAAACAGGGACACTTCTGAGTCTAACCCTTCCGTCATGTCGTTCACATATACCAAAAATAGCACTGCTCCTAGGACCGACCCCTGTGGGACCCCGCTCGTCACAGGTGTCCACTGTGATACCTCATCACGTACCATGACTCGTTGTTGCCTCCCTGTCAGGTATTCTCTGATCCATTGCAGTGCCCTTCCTGTTATGTGCGCCTGATCCTCTAGCTTCTGCACTAGTCTCTTGTGAGGAACTGTGTCAAAGGCCTTCTTGCAGTCCAAAAAGATGCAATCAACCCACCCCTCTCTCGTGTCCTACTTCTGTGTGTGTGTGTGTGTGTGTGTGGTGTGTGTGTGTGTGTGTGTGTGTGTGTGTGTACTCACCTAGTTGAGGTTGCAGGTGTCGAGTCCAAGCTCCTGGCCCCGCCTCTTCACTGGTCGCTTCTAGGTCACTCTCCCTGATCCATGAACTTTATCATACCTCTGCTTAAAGCTATGTATGGATCCTGCCTCCACTACATCGCTTCCCAAACTATTCCACTTCCTGACTACTCTGTGGCTGAAGAAATACTTCCTAACATTCCTGTGATTTATCTGTGTCTTCAGCTTCCAACTGTGTCCCCTTGTTGCTGTGTCCCATCTCTGGAACATCCTGTCTTTATCCACCTTGTCAATTCCTCTCAGTATTTTGTATGTCGTTATCATGTCCCCCCTATCTCTCCTGTCCTCCAGTGTCATCAGGTTGATTTCCCTTTACCTCTCCTCGTAGGACATACCTCTTAGCTCTGGGACTAGTCTTGTTGCAAACCTTTGCACTTTCTCTAGTTTCTTTACATGCTTGGCTAGGTGTGGGTTCCAAACTGGTGCCGCATACTCCAGTATGGGCCTAACGTACACGGTGTACAGGGTCCTGAACGATTCCTTATTTAGATGTCGGAATGCTGTTCTGAGGTTTGCTAGGCGCCCATATGCTGCAGCAGCTATTTGGTTGATGTGCGCTTCAGGAGATGTGCCTGGTGTAATACTCACCCAAGATCTTTTTCCTTGAGTGAGGTTTGTAGTCTCTGGCCCCCTAGATTGTACTCCGTCTGCGGTCTTCTTTGCCCTTCCCCAATCTTCACGACTTTGCATTTGGTGGGATTGAACTCCAGGAGCCAATTGCTGGACCAGGTCTGCAGCCTGTCCAGATCCCTTTGTAGTTCTGCCTGGTCTTCGATCGAATGAATTCTTCTCATCAACTTCACGTCATCTGCAAATAGGGACACCTCGGAGTCTATTCCTTCCGTCATGTCGTTCACAAATACCAGAAACAGCACTGGTCCTAGGACTGACCCCTGTGGGACCCCGCTGGTCACAGGTGCCCCCTCTGACACCTCGCCACGTGCCATGACTCGCTGCTGTCTTCCTGACAAGTATTCCCTGATCCATTGTAGTGCCTTCCCTGTTATCCCTGCTTGGTCCTCCAGTTTTTGCACTAATCTCTTGTGTGGTACTGTGTCAAACGCCTTCTTGCAGTCCAAGAAAATGCAATGTGTGTGTATGTGTGTGTGTGTGTGTGTGTGTGTGTGTGTGTGTGTGTGTGTGTGTGTGTGTGTGTGTGTGTGTGTGTGTGTGTGTGTGTGTGTACTCACCTGTATGAGGTTGCAGGGGTCGAGTCACAACTTCTGGCCCCGCTAGTCGCTACTAGGTCACTCTCCTCGCTCCAAGAGCCTTTTCATTCCTTTTCTTAAAGATATGTATGGATCTTACCTCAACTACTTCACTCTCCAGATTATTTCACTTCCTGACAACTCTAAGACTAAAGGAATACTTCATAACATCCCTATGGCTCATCTGAGTTTTCAATTTCCGGTTGTGGCACCTTGTTTCTGTGCCCCATGTCAGAAACATTCTAGCCCTCTCCTGGAGGTTACCTGGAGGTTATTCCGGGGATCAACGCCCCCGCGGCCCGGTCCATGACCAGGCCTCCCGATGGATCAGGGTCTGATCAACTAGGCTGTTACTGCTGGCCGCACGCAATCCAACGTACGAGCCACAGCCTGGCTGATCCGGCACTGACTTTAGGTATCTGTCCAGCTCTCTCTTGAAGGCAGCCAGGGGCTTATTGGCAATTCCCCTAATGCTTGATGGGATGCTGTTGAACAGTCTTGGGCCCCGGACACTTATGGTGTTTTCCCTTAGTGTACCAATGGCGCCCCTACTTTTTATTGGGGGCATTTTGCATCGCCTGCCCAGTCTTTTACTTTCGTAGGGAGTGATTTCTGTGTGCAAATTTGGGACCATTCCTTCCAAGTTTTCCAAGTGTAGATTATGATATATCTCTCCCTCCTGCGTTCCAACGAGTACAAGTCAAGTGCTTCCAAGCGTTCCCAGTAGTTAAGGTGCTTGACAGAACTTATACGTGCAGTAAAGGATCTCTGTACACTCTCTAGATCTGCGATTTCACCTGCTTTGAATGGAGATGTTAATGTACAGTAGTATTCCAGCCTAGAGAGACCAAGTGATTTTAAAAGGATCATCATGGGCTTGGCATCTCTCGTTTTGAAAGTTCTCATTATCCATCCTATCATTTTCTTTGCACGTGCGATCGTGGCACTGTTGTGATCCTTGAAAGTGAGATCCTCAGACGTTACTACTCCCAGGTCCCTTACATTATTTTTCCGCTCTACTGTATCGCCGGAGTCAGTAGTATACTCTGTTCTAGTTATTATCTCCTCCAGTTTTCCATAACGGAGTAGTTGGAATTTGTCCTCATTGAACATCATATTGTTTACCGTTGCCCACTGGAAAACTTTTGTTTATATCTTCTTGGAGGTTAACCGCGTCCTCAGCAGATGACAGCCTCATGCAGATCCTAGTATCATCCGCAAAGGATGATACGGTGCTGTGGTGTATATCTCTGTCTATGTCTGATATGAGGATAAGGAATAAGATGGGGGCGAGTACTGTGCCTTGTGGAACAGAGCTCTTCACTATGGCAGCCTCCAATTTAACTCTGTTGACCACTACTCTTTGTGTTCGATTTGTTAGGAAGTTGAAGATCCATCTCCCCACTTTCCCAGTTATTCCTTTAGCACGTATTTTATGGGCTATTACGCCATGATCGCATTTGTCAAATGCTTTTGCAAAGTCTGTGTATATTACATCTTGCATTCTGATTTTCTTCCAGTGCATCCAAGGCCATGTCATAGTGATCCAGTAGTTGTGAGAGGCAGGAGCGACCTGCCCTGAACCCATGTTGCCCTGGATTGTGCAGATTTTGGGAATCCAGGTGATTTGCAATCCTGCTTCTTAGCACTCTTTCAAAGATTTTTATGATGTGGGACGTCAGAGCTATTGGTCTATAGTTCCTAGCTAATGCTTTGCTGCCACCTTTATGGAGTGGGGCTATATCCGTTGTTTTAAGTGACTGTGGAATTTCACCCATGTCCAAGCTCCTCCTCCATAGTGTACTTAGGGCACACGAGAGGGGTTTCTTGCAGTTCTTAATGAAATGAAAACAGAGTTCCACGAGTCTGGGCCCGGGGCTGAGTGCATAGGCATGTTGTCAATGGCTTTTTCGAAATCTATCGGAGTTAGGGTAATGTCGGAAATCTGGCATACATTTATGGAGTTTTGAGGCTCATTCATGAAGAAATCATTTGGGTTGTCGATCCTCAGACCGATTATTGGTTCACTAAACACAGAGTCGTACTGGGATTTCAATATTTCACTCATTTCCTTGTTGTCATCTGTGTAAGTCCCATCCTGTCTGAGTAAGGGCCCGATACTAGATGTGGTATTTGCC